TTTTTTTTTTTTTTTTTTTTATGTTCGTCCAATATTTTACAGCTCTCCAGTCTCGCCTAAACAAATTTTAAATTGTCAAGATCGATCCTAAATTAACCAACCAACGTAGAACTATAGAGCAAGCTCAAGAAAATAAAACTGCATCAATCCATCCACGTAAATTGGCTGCAAGAATCAAATGAAACTAAGTTTCCGATGTTCAAAATAGAGTACCTAGAAACAGAAACAATCAGAAAGATTCACAAAAAGTAGTATGAAAATCACTATTCATAAATGCAAATGTGCATAGTACCTGCAAATAGGAAATTTCCACGCTATCCGAAGTAGGAGATACATTGGCAATTATGTCCTCTAAAGCTCTAACCATGATACCACGTTCAGACACATCTTCTTTACCCATCCTTCCAAGTGTGTAAGTCTTACCAGTACCAGTTTGACCGTACGCCATAATTGTGCCATTATAACCATTTAGCACGCACTGCCAAAAGTAAATCCAACTTTTTAACATAAATATCAACTAGCATAGTCTGTAAAGACTTAAAAGATGAAATGATATTAATTTATACAACAAGCAGAACGACCAGATATCAGAAGCACACTAGAAGATGTCTATAAAAGTTAAATCACATTCACATATTCAACATTTAAACTACAACACATTTCAAACATGAAATTTGAGTAGTTATCAACGACATCACTTATCAGTCACTAACCTCAACAACAGGCTTGGCTACCACTTCATATACACGCCTTTGAGAGGCAGATTCCGTAAAAACTTCATCAAATTGATACGACTCAGAACTCCAGTTGTTTTTCCTCAATTTCAACCGCTTCAGCTACATGGTAAAATAAATAAATAAGAAAAAAGGAAGAAGATCATTACGACCACAGCCCCCACATGAAATGAGGTACGAACAAGACTTGTTAGCACATTAGTAACACATAATTAATGATGAGTTGATAGGCCGCCAATATTATCGGTATTAGCAGCCTATCAACTCATCATTAATTATAGTATATATACAGATCTTACGTCACTAATATTCTTTCTCCAATACAAATGAACCGTGTCAAAAAGTAGGACCTCCGTCAACAACATGATGATGAATAAAGAAGCTTTTTCATGAAATAACTTCAAAATTATGTAGCAAGTACCTCTGGCTGTAACTCAACACAATCAGCAAAATCAGCATCTGAAAGGAGATCCTCAGCATTTCTAGGTCGGACTCTAACAGCCACTCTCACCCGCTGAGAGTCTATCAAAAGGTTCACGTGCAAAAAACTTCAAAACTTGCCTTATATCAAGAACATATGATAGCTTCACAAACGCAAGAAATTCTCTTTCAAATTTATCTACCAGAGAATCTAAAAGTCTGTAGCATAAACAATGTGATAACATCACGCTAAAGACAGTTCATTGGAGCATGAGTGATGCTTAAATAAATGTCAAGCAACCTGGTTCGTTAATGACTTGACATGAAAGTAGAAATTAGATATAGAACAAGGACAATAACATCCCTTGTCAAAGTTAGCATTTTGTATACTACGTTTACATTAATAAAAATAAAAATACTTACCTAAAACTTGAAATCGTCAGATAACAAGTCAACTGCTACTGGTAAGAATTTAAACACCTAAATGAGAAGTAGAATCCAATAGGTATATCATATACTGATACACCTTTATTTTGGATTTCACACAGGCCGTGGACTATCTAAAGTGTCATTTTTTCTGGATAAAGGACTATCTATGTCATCTCCAATTTCGTGTTTATCCTTTATTTAGCCTAAAGATGACTATATTACATTTAGGTCCAAATACTATTCCCACTTATCTTAAAAAAAGATTAATTAAAAAAATCCCACCAATTTTCCTACGGGGGCTTTTGTGGGCTACTATTCACTGTTTTTCCACCAAACATTTAAATTCCCAACAACGTCCAGCGGAATCCATTGATTCGCGAAAACTCTGTCAGTCACCAATCAAATATCTTCCAAGTGATTGAGATAGCAACATGTATATGCCTGTTTCCATAAGTTTAAAAAGTTCCCGCTTAAGTTCCCTCGACTATCTATCTATATTATTGGTTCATTTCGTGAATAAAATTCGGAATGGTAGTAGAGTTACAACGGCTAACACCCCAATTTTGTACTTGGGCCCCAGTGATAAAATCCGCCCTCGTACATACAGCGTCGAACTGAGTTGCTCGAGTTCGCGCTCATTTAAGAATCGAAAGACACTACAGACCCGAGGAGGACGAAGAATAAGTGGAAAAGAAAAGAAAAAAGATAATCAAATTAACAGTCCAAAAGCAACAGAACACCTACCACGCATCGAACTGAAACAAAACAGTCAGAAACAGAGCAGAATGACGAGCATCAAAACCAAGCAAACAAATAAACTAACACACAGACAAATAACGGGAGACAGAAATCAAAACCTTCATCGACATCAAACGAACAAGACCTCAAATTAGGAGTAAGAGATCGTCGAGAAGCAGAAGACGCTTTATTACGAGCAGAAGAACCAAGACTCTGTCCATGACCAACACTTTTCGAAGCAGCAATGGGGAAAGCAAAGGAGCTACTATGAGCAGAAGAAATCGGAACATGATGATGAACACCTTGCCTCTCGGACCTCAAAGAATACCTGAAACTATTACCACCACTACCACCAATACCACCACCACTGGAAGCCATTTCTGTTCCAAATCAAATTCTCCGATCAGAGCGCATAGCACAACACTTCAGCCGGAAGTGAACACCGAGAATCCAAAACACATTTACAGAACGACGATGAATCCATGGCCGAATATCAGAGAAATTGAGCCCAGCACGTAGAGAAGAACAGAGAGAACTGGTTCCCGCGTCGGCAATTAAGTAACGTTTGGGGACGGCTGCCTTTATTTATTTACACTATTATTTCTCTCAAATTAAATGCCATTTAATTTAAATCTCCAAAGTAATCAAATAACATCCTTTTCACAAATAAATATTTTTTTTTCTATTTTAAACAACATAATAAATGAATTAATTAAAATATATAACGTCATTAATGAAAACTAAAAGCTCTATATTTTCTCGTTGTCGCCATTTAATTGGTCCCTCTATTTTCCACGTATGAAATTAGAAATTTTAATTCCCATTTAAAATTAATAATAAATATCATGTTTTATTTAGAAGCAAGAGTTTTAAATATTTTAATTAGTTAGAATGATTAATTCCTTAAAAGAAAGGGAAAAAACCGCTTCGCTTATAATGGACGCACCGTATTAACAAGAGGACAATAAAGTTCCGTTTAAATTATTATCATAAATTCATGATAAACACACGATAAGAAAAAGTATAACCTGAGATATGATTGTTTGTTTCTATTTAGCACGACATTCACGGTAACAGTACTAACATAACAAAATACTTAATAAATAAAGAATCTACTGTCTTATCAAAATATTATCGAACGGGAAAAAATAATATAGTTCTGAATATATGTGTCCAAACCTAACTGAATTTATTCCTGAAGTAGACCCGATAATTAACAAAAAATACAAAACTCGTAAAGTTGCTTTTTTTTTTTTGAAGTCGGTCTATAGCCCTATAAAGATTTATTCCTTCTCGGATTTTGAACGTTAGAGGTCAATAATTGGTGCATCTATGTCTATTTGTGGAACTTGTAGGGACGTAGAGAGGCATATGTGATAGATAATGTCGTAGGACATTAAATTTTGCAAAGATTTCTTCCCAATAAAATTGAGCGTAAAGTATTTAGCACATGCTATGTTTTCTCACAATGTATTAAAAAGGACAATTATTCTTTGGAATTATTGTGTTACATTTATTCATACATTTATAGTTACGACCAATCTTTAAGTTTGAAATAGGTTAATTGGGTCGATAAATTACAATATTTTTTACACAACGTAATTTTGCCTACGGTAATTAGAGATGTTCACTTAAGAGCTAGGACTCCTCGAAAACCTTCTGAAGAGGGTGAAAAACCCTCGTTTAAACAAAGATTGGGGAGGGAGAAAGAATATGTTAACTACATAAAGTCGGGATTTGAATTACATTTCCTATCCTTGTCCCAATCTTTGTATCGCTCCTCTCTACTTATATATTAAATATTAAAAACGGATGAAATTTAAATTTTCAAAAATTAGGTTAAAAATTACATTATATTTTTCTTATAGAAATTATCTATTAATTTTTTAAATGAATATTTTTTTAAAGTACATATATATTTAAAAGTGAAAGAAAAATATCACTCTAATAAAAAAATAAAATGTAAATTTTCTATCAGAATAAAAAAAAAATGCAATAATATGATGCAACAAACTTTACAGCTTAAATGAAGCCAAAAAGGGCCATCATTTCTTTAAAAAGTTGGTCGTTTTTTAAGGACATGTGGGAAGTAAAAGAATATAATGACACTTTTTTCATCTCTTTCCACACACTCCAAGCATTGGAGGGCGTGAAAGGCACCTGAGAGTAATAAAATTTCATTTATCTTCTTTAAACAAAATCAATTAATATCTTATATATTTTTATCTGTAAAAATAAATAATCTCAAACTCCACCGACCTCACCCGTTTCTTCAAATTTTGTGTCTAATAAGTTTGTGAATTTTAAAAACAGTCGAATAGATCAAAGATCTATTAGACGTAAAACTAGAAGTTCAACGACTATAAAATTGAAGAATAAGGGATTTATTATCCTTTTTTAAAGTGCAGTGACTAATAAAAACAAAATTGAAAGTTTCAGAATCTGTAAGTTCGTGAAATAAATTTGTAACTTAACCGTATAATAATTGTTAGAATCACGACCCTCCACAATGGTATAATAGTGTCCACTTAGAGCAAAGCTCTCATGGCTTTGCTTTGGGATTTTCCAAAATGCCTCGTATCAATGAAGATATATTCCTTACTTATAAACTCATGATCATTTCCTACATTAGCTAACGTGGGATTCCCTCCCGCTAATCATAATGGCATAATTTAAATCAAGCAGACCAATGATCACATCAAACTAATTAGCATAGTCATGCATATTTCTGCAGTAACTTTTCAAGCTCAGCCAAAACCCAGAAGGTTAAAAGGAATTACCAAACCTCGTACCTCTTGGAGTTTGAGTTAATGGATGTACCGAAATCCCGTTGTATAGTATCCATGTAGAACAAGAGAGGCTTTGCTGTCCGTTTGTTTTCTGTTGCTTCATTTTGCTGACAGCGGATGGCAGTTTTGCAGTCGGTGCAAGCTGGAATTTGGACAAAAACCATGTTTCCAGATCTCAAGTTATTTCAGATAGTGTATAAACCTTGATAAAATTTGACTGCATGACTGAATAGAAAGTTAAGCTATAAGGCTAAAAGTTTAGGTGGTAGTGTTCTTGGAGTCGTGGAATCTGGACAAAAACCATGTCACTAGACCTCGAGCTATTTCAGATAGTAATTGATTTTGATAAAAATTGAAATGATGTGCAGGATTGATTAGGGTTAGGCTATAACTAAGATATTGGACATTTATTGCGAGATCCCACATCGATTAGGGAGGAGAACGAACTTTATAAGGGTGTGGAAACCTCTCCCTAGCAGGCGCGTTTTAAAAATCTTGAGGGGAAGCCCGAAAGGGAAAGCCCAAAGAGGACAATATCTTCTCGCGGTGGACTTGGGCGGTTACAAATGGTATAGAGCCAGACACCGGGCGATGCAGTAAGGAAGCTGAGCTCCGAAGGGGAGTGGACACCGTATGCCAGCAGGGATGTTGGGGTCCAAAGGGGAGTGGATTGGGGGGTCCCACATCGATTGGAGAAGGGAACGAGTGTCAACGAGGACGCTAGACCCCGAAGGGGGTGGATTGTGAGATCCCACATCAGTTGGAGAGAAAAACAAAACATTTTTTATAAGGGTGTGGAAACCTCTCCCTAGCAGACGCGTTATAAGAACCTTGAGAAAAAGTCCAAATAAGACAATATCTGCTAGCGGGTGGGTTTGAGGTTCGAACAAAAACCATCTTCCCAAATCTCAAGTAATTTGAGATAGTGTATAGATCTTGTTAAAATTAAACTGCAAGCCTGAATAGAAAGATAGGCTACAAGGCTGAAAATTTAGGTAGGTATGCTCTTAGACTTGTGGAATTCGGACAAAAACAATGTCCTCAGATCTCAGGTTATTTCAGATCTTGATAAACTTGAACTGCACAGGGCAAAATAGAAAGTTGAGCTACAAACCTAAGTTATAGGCAGTTAGTTCTTGGACTAATCTATTTAGCTGCATTCAGATTTCAAAACGTTCATCTAGTTTGAGTTCTTGACCTCTTCCTTCATTCCATTCAAAGTCTTATTTTCAATCATTCATCTATGTTTTCTAGTTTAACATGACCCAGACACTACAAATCAAATCAAACCATAAACCTGTTTCAATCAAATCTCAAGTAGTTTGACACCTACTAAAGCACGTTATATTGAACATAAAACCAGTGGATCCATTCAGCCATCAGGAAAATTTGTACTCAATGTTTTATTCTAAAGCCATAGATGCAAGAGACAGACCAACTAAATGAAAGGAAATTGTTAACAAAGGCTCTTACCTTCTAACCTACAAGCTTTCAAAGGCAGAGCATTCTGAACTGGCTAGATGCTTCCTTGCTAAAACAAGTTGTATGAGCTTCGTACAGAAACATCACCTGTGCGGCAATGATGATCCTGTGCATCTGCTGGAAGAGGTTGTAAGCAGAAGAAGATAACTAAAGGAAGTTGTGAAAAGAATATAATTAAATGTCAAGTCATAAATGAGCAATGAATACAAGGTTAAGGCACAGCGTTAGATTTCTCTCATGCTCGCTTTCATGTTGTTACAAAGCACCACTGCAACTACCTGTATGTTCCTTTACTGTTCAGTCTAATACACATTGGGAAGAAAATAATCCTACGAAATAATGGCATCGCATGCCATTCATGTTGTCTATAACATTTTGATGGTTGAAAATCTGTACCATCAACGTTGACTGAAATCTCCAACACAGGCATCATTGTAAATATAAGTGGCCATGATGTGAAGCGTGAGCTGGAATAAACAGTATCCAACCTCTTGAAACGTTCAATTACTGTCCCAGCAGTTAGAGAAGTAGTACTGTGACTACATGCATGTGGCATATCTGAAATCACTCCTAGCACATTCAAGCTTCAACAACTATGGACAAATCCGTAGTCATCAGAAGCTCAACTTTTCCAGCCAATTGCCTTCAGGTCACTTTGTTTTAGTTCAATGTAACTTCCAAGCCTGAAAAAATGAGGAAATTTTTCAATAAATCTACAGAACATCTCATTTCCTGAATACTCATGGTCACAAATAAAGCTGCAGCTAAAAAGCATTTTCCGTGAAACTGTAGAAAAGGAAAAAAAAAAAAAAAAAAGTATGTTGCGCAATCTTGAGGGCTGTGGCCGAAGTTGTAACTGGTGAACAAACCTCTTTCCTTTTCTTATCTTATTTTTTCATTCGTTCAGTTTTCTTCTTGGGTAGGGGAGGGGGGCTAGTCCGCACTGTGGATGAGTTTCTTTAAAAAGAAAAGAAATTCGTAATCCTAGTCAGTATCAGTCGTACGCGTATCCACTTGATCATTTTTTGAGATAAACTTTATTTTGAAGATTAAAATGGTCTTAATTTAATCTATCTTCAAGATACTTTTAAGACGTTCGTTGTTCAGTTGGAATTCCCCAATGTTTTGTGAATACTTAAATGCAAAATAATAAGGAATTATCTATATTCATCACTCGATTTCAGCTATGTGAAAATGAATTGCCAAGTGAATAATCTAATTTGGTTCTTTGCCCACTCCCAAACAACTATAAATTCATTAAAAATAAAAAAAGGAAAAGGATCAGAGAAGTATCATAACG